AAGCAGCCACCTGGTGGGGCCAGCTGCTCACTGCTGCTGTTACAGACCAGCAGCTCAGCTTGCTTGTCTTTGCTGGGGAAAGGAGCGACAGAAACCAGAAATAGCAGCTCTTGTGCTTCGTGAGCTGTGTGGAAAGGGATCATTGGTGGTAGATTGAAATTTCATGTGGTCATCACTACCTGTAAATGCCATCCAAGCTGCACAGGTGTGACTTCTTGAAAGCCTGCTTGCTGTTCCAGCACCAGAATTACAGCCAGCTTTAGAAGATATGGGATGGAATTGCCTAAGTGCAGCACTCTATCTCACTCTGCCTAGCACGAGTCTGCAGGAACAACATTTTCAGTCCTACATTAGGGTAGTTCTGGAAAAAATGAAGGGTTGAGCCACTGATAGATGCTTTTTTCTTACATTATATTTAGCACAAAGTCTTTTGGCCATATTCCATCCAGACAGCTTTGTGCCTGTCTGCATAAATTAGCATGCAGAATGAATTTGCAGTTTTCAAACAGCCGTGCACAGAGTCCCTGTTTTAACATTATTACAAGTGCCATGCATGTGTTATGGACACTGAGCTAGCAGAATCATGGAAAGCTGGTATCCTCAGTGATGCAAAACTGTATTCAGAGGATTTCTACCCTTGCTTTCTGAAATTCAGTTCTGAATATTAATTTAAGAGTGACAAAAGTCATCAAAAAGGCATTTTCCCTTACCATGCCCCTTGTCCTGGCACAAGTACCTGTTACACAAACTAAACCAACCATGTCATTTTAATGAAGATCGGTTTACTACAGAGCTGGGAAACTGCTTGTATCAGCTTAACGAAGGCATAGAAGTAAATGGGGGTAGAGAAAGGAGGGATGATTGGGCAGCAGTGCAGCATGTACCACGCTGTGTTGCCAGAGCACCTAAAGCTTTCATGTAGGACACTTCCCTTTCACGTAGCTCGCTAGGGAAAACCAGACAGCAGATGGTGCCTATGGAGCTGAGACCACAGAATTCCCTTTCTTTACACAGATGCGGTGATGCTGCAGGTGGAGGTCTCAGGGAGTTCCTCTTACAGCTCTGATAGACTATTCCATAGCATAGATTGTCATTCCCAGGTATGGTGAGGTGCTGAAGAAGTGGATTCCATTCAGCCAGCCGGATGGGAAAGCCTATGTGATTGATTCCTGTGCTGCCCCATGTGTTTCCTTGCCAGCAAGAGATGTCTGCAAAAGATAATTATTCTAAAGTACTTCTTGGTCTTGCGAGGGATCAGACGATGTTTGCTACTGACCTGCTGTGGATGTGTTTAAGCATAAGGAAATGTCTTTGTAGAACTATGTTTGCCATTATTTTTTCAATTAAGCTCAGCCCCTCAGTATTTTGCACTATCTAGAGATGCTGTGAGCTCATTACTTCAGAAAATTGTCCTTTGCTGACATTGATCATTTGGCTGATAAAAACACTTTCATGTTGTTTTACTTCTGGACTCCTTTCAGTTAAAAGGTCTGAGGTCTGTAAGCCTTGCAGACTGTATTTGCTGTTTACTAGCAACTGAATTGCAACTGTCGAGTCTGAGGCCTATTCATCTCCGGTCCTACAGAATATTGCTCTGCTGGGAATGTTTGGGTAACGCAGGAACAACCAACATTGCTTTCCAAGGCTCGAGTTCTTGTCCTCCCAGCAGGCGAGGAATCTGACTGAAGCAGTTCCAAAACTGCTTTGAGAACAAACTTTGCCATCTTTCAATTGAGCTCAGGGTAAGCTGGAGTCATTCAGTTTCGGTCCAAGCAGAGGTGAAACCATGCGTGCCTAATCCTGCTGAACAGCAGGCTCTCCATGCTCAGCTCTCAGGAGCAGCCAGTTTGCTTCAAAATCTTCACACCTTATGTGCTCCCACATTAAATGTTTACTAGGGGTAACCTCCAGGAGAAAACGTTGTTCTGAATAGTTTTATAGTACCCTTGTATCCACATCACGTGCATTATGCAAAAAAAAAAAATGTTCTGCAGACAATGCTTTTTGCTCGTAACTCCAGGTCCAAATTTAAAGGCAGTTTTGAGTGTTACTTTATTGGCACTCATGATGATTGCATTGATTCCCACTGAGGTGCATGCAGAGAGGTGACAGGTACACATACAGCAAGCTGATCCCTGGGGTGTCCCTGCCAGCAGTGAATGGCAGAAGCCCATAACATCAATAGTCTCAGTGATGGGAGTTGCAGGTACCATTTAATGCAGAATTATTTCTTTTTAATGTTTTTTCTACTATTATTCTGTCAGCATTTCTATACAAATGTTGGAGAATTTGATCTCTATCAAAATCCATGAGGGGCCAGGAACAAGTGCAGGATGGAACTGAGTGTACTTCCTAACTTCAGTGGGCAGCAAAGCGTATGGCATACATGTAGGAGCACACCCAGTGCTAACATTGGGTGCAGTTCCAATAACTCCTCGGGAAGCTGCTGATTTGCCAGAGGATTGAGCAGGTAATTAAATTGGTAATTGCTGTTATAGGAACTGAATGTACAAGTCAGATGTGTTTTGCATTTGGAACCTGAGTAGCACTGTGTTCGTGGGTTTGTATGTGCTGGATTGCCATAAAAACACTTAACTGCTGGGTTATGTTTCCTAGAGGAAATTCATCGCAGCTTTTTCTCCATCACAGCAAAGCAGACACAGGCAACAAAAGACAGACGCTTTCCAGTTTCTCAGCCTCAACATCTGTTCCTGATCTCACTGCATATACATGCTCTATTTGTGCCGGCACTTTTTGTTTTGGAACCTAGACCATGCCTGATGTGTTGCATTTGTTGACCATGTCTGTTGGTAACATGTTTACAATAAAATGAATATAACTTATCAACGATTGTATTCTTTGTATAACCAGTACAACCATTTAATTTGAAGGAGCATCTGGTACAGAACTGGCTTGGAACACACCCTGAGCATAGGTGCCTGGTGTCAGTAACTCATTCCAGTGTTCTGTGAACTCCTTTGTAGTTCGCAGGACAACCTGCAAACACTCTAGGAACGAAGATGCTGGAGTAGTGCTAGGGAAGGGCAAAGGAAAAGCCCTACTGCTAATGCTGCTGCTCCAGCCTCCTGCAGGGAAGACACAACCTGAGCAGTACAGGAAGCATTTCAGCTTATCTCCCAGTAGGAGAAATGCAACAATACCTCCTCAGATCCAGAACATCTCTGCTTTAGCTACTGATTGAGCAGCAGCATCCCAGATTGCTCCCAAAGGCCAGTTGGTGATAGCACCAAGTCTCGGTGCATGGAGAAAGGACAGAGCTGGTCTGAGAGTTTCTCATTTGCCCATTTCAAGTGGCCCAGACAAGACAGAGTTTTTCCTGATGGCATAGGGAATAGCCACTTCCTTCCAAAGAACCAGTGGAAGAAAAGAAAGGTGTAGGTTTTTCCTAATTTTAAAACATGCCAGGAGGGATGAGCCGTGGGCTCCTGCCCCACTCGCTGAGCAAGCATGGACACTATCCTAGGATGGAACATCTCCATTGCAGTTAGAAGCAATAAGTAAAGCAGCTGGTTGGGAGCAGAAAATCTGCAGTAGTGAGCTCTCCTCATAGACAGTGAACAAGTGGAAGTTAACAGGAATGAGACGAATACACGAAGGTCCAAAAAGTGAGATAAGAGAACAGAATAAGGGGAAAGGCCTAATCAACAGAAGTAGGGTGTCAAGGAAGAAGCAAAAACAATCAGAGAAATAAAAAAAATAAAAATTGGTGCTTGCCAGAATACCTGAATACTACAGACAAGTAATATGAAAGGATAATGAAGTTGAAAGTGCAGCTACCATGAACTTCATGTATGTTTCCTGACCCATTTACGTTGTTGCAGCTCTTCCCTCAGCCTTTCCAGTCCGCTGGCTTGGTAGATGGCACAAACATTGGGCAGTGCCACAGTTTACAGAGCGAAGATGCAAAGATGACAGCAAAGCTGCAGAGAGATTCAGTGGATGCTACTGCACCACAACATATCACACCATGCCAGAGGGAATCCTGTGACCTGCCCTGGGCAGAACTGTCCCTCCACACCTCCCAGAGAGCTCAGAACAACCTGTCTGCACGCAAAGATAGGATTTCTACGTGCTATTTTCCTTCCTCAGCCTGACCATTCTCCCTAAAGGGAATACTCTAGGGTGATGAAAAAGCAAGTGGTAACCTATTCTGTGATGCGTGGAAATGGAACAGGTTGGCTGTATAATCAGGGAACGATATCCAACCCCACGGCTCAAAGTACCCTGACCAACTACCATTCTCTCCAATGCTTATGTGACGTTTCCCAGGTCACCAGTACTTAGCCATGGAGATCCTGCAATCCATAGGATTACAGGCCAGGTTGGATGGGGCTGTGGGCAGCCTGATCTAATGGCTGAATTAGCAATTGGCAACACCGCCCACAGCAGGGCATCGCAGCTGGGTGATCTCACAGGTGCCTTCCAACCCAAGGGATTCTGTGATTCTATGAGACGGGCTCAAGTTGCACCTGGAGAGGTTCAGGTTGAACGTTAGGAAAAACTTCTTCACGGGGAGGGCAGTCAAGCAGTGGTACAGGCTACCCAGAGAGCTGAAATCCTCATCCCGCCGCCCCGAGAGGTGCGCCGAGCCCCTCAAGACCGCGCAGCGCTCCGCACCCCGCGCCGCTCCCAACCGCCCTCTGAAAGAGCACTACTACGCACGCGCGGTTTTCAAGCCCCGTCTAGCCAATCCCCTCCCGCGCTGCTCCCTAGCCCCGCCCCCTCCCTTTGAACGCCGATCTCAGCCAACCCCCGCAGCCTAACCGCGCTGAGCGGCCCAATCGGCGGCCGGCGCCGCGGAGGGACGGGGCGGAGGGGGCAGGCATGACGCAGCGAGTTTTTCCTCGCGGCGCTTGGCGCCGGCTCTCGGCGCGGCGGCGGCGAGGTCGCCGCTCTGGCCTGTGACGCGTGACGCACAGGTACGTGAGGGGCCGGCGAGCCCGGCGGTCACGTGGGGCGGGCGCTGCCGCCGCTGTTGCCGCCAGGCGCCGCGGGTCCCGCGCGCTCGGCCCGTCGCCGCCGCCGCCCTTCCCCCTCGCCGCATGAGGCTGACGGCGCTCCCACAGCCGCCCGCCCGCCGCCTCCTCCTCATCCGCCGCCGCCGCCCTTGATGTGGTTCGGGGCCGGGCGGGGGACAAGATGCCGCCGTCCAAGTCCCGCAAGATCGCGATCCTGGGCTACAGGAGCGTAGGTGAGCGCGGGGCTCCGAGGGGAGCGGGCGGCGGCGGTGGCAGGTGCGGGGCCGGGGCGGTCCGGGCTGCGGGCGGGAGGCGGCCGGGAGGCGCCATGGCGGCGCCGCAGAGCGCTGCGGGCCCGGGGCCGCGCCGCCGTGCGCCTCTGCCCTTAATTGGCCAGGGGGCGGCACGGGCCGGGGGGAGCGGGGTGCGAGGGGCTGCAGGCGGTAGGACGGGGGCGGGGAGCTGGCTCGGCGCTGCCGGGCGCCCTCGGGGCTCCGGGCTGCGGGTGAAGTTCCGCGTCCCCTCAGTCACGGCCCGGCCCAGGGCGCACCGCGTGCACTTCGCTCCGATTTCTGCCCTTTTCCGCTCTCTGTAGACGTACGGCGATGGAGGATGAGCGTACGGCTCTCCTCAGAGAAGGAGAGAACTTCCCGGTGCCGTCCGAAGCCGGGAGCGTTGCGGCATCCCGCAGCGGCCGGCCTTCCTCCTGCAGTCTGCGCTGCCGAACGGCCCCGCCGGCTGCAGCCTCGTGGGGCAGAAGCGGAGCGGCCGCGTAGTGCGGCTCTCGGCATCGATCGGGCTTAAAAGCGTAGGTCGATGTTAAGGATAATGCGCGGCTGGAAAAGAAGCCGCTGTAGGGAGATGCTGCTCAGCTGCAGGAGGGTTTTGGCTGTGAGTGATTTGTCTGCAGTCACGCACTCGGCACGAAGGACCTGTAACGACGCCGTTTTCTTTTCCCGAGATCAAAAAAGGTTACCTGAGCGCCGGCGTTTCTTAGATGCCGTGTGCATAGCGGCAGCCTGGCTTCAGGGTGAGGTGGTGGAAAAACGGTGCTGTGTCTGTACGGTGCTGGAAGGGAGCAGCCAGCAGGAGGTTTGTAGTTTGCACGGAGCGGCTGACATGTCACAGTCAGCCTCAGAGTTTGTCTTGTTACGTTTTCCTCTTTTCTTCTTTGATCACTGATGAAAAGCGATGGGCAGTGTGAGTCGGTGGGAGGAATGCTGTAAATTTGGCGCTTTGGGCTTTCAGCTGTCAGAAGATTGGATGGTCCTGGGGCGGATAAACCATTGAGACTGACAGCACAGCATATAGACACTGTTAATGTCATTGTTGGTGTGACCCAGAATGCTTTGGGTGATAGTGCTCGTGTGGATGGAGGTGGGCAGAAAGTTACCTCCTGCCCGTTAGGATGCACTGCTGTGCTCTTTCACCTGCAGCTTCCTGAGACTGGTGTGGTTTGGGGTCTTGTGGGACGTGGTCTGTTCCATTAGGACAGCTGGTCGTTGTAGACACATGGAAGAAAAGAGAAGTAGTAGTTTGCCTTTTATCAACCTTGACAAGTCTGTTGCCTTGCTTGGTCTTAGGTACAAATCTTACATGTTAAAGCCACAGAGTTACTCCTCTTAAGTATGGGAGCATTACATTTCTAGGCAAATATTTACGTAAATGTTCCAGCAGTAGACACGAGCTGTTGGTTGTACCATCATGTAGGGCTGGCAGAAAAACAAGAAACAGACTGTGAGATGAAGGTTGGGTCCTTTGTCCACCCGAGAATGCCTTGTAAAGTCCAGGAGAGTAAAGGCATGGTTTGGCTTCAGATAGACATTCAACCTGGTACGGCAGGAATATCACTTGAGCTCTGCATAAAAGAGAGGATCCCATCTCTTTTTAAGAGAAGAGGAAATGAGGGCCATTACTTGTGGAGAAACATCACCCTTTGAACAGAGCTAGTTTTCATCAGGATGGGGAATAATTCCAAGATCCGAAGGGCTGCTGAAGGCTTCTGAGCTTCCTTTTATAAATAGGGAACTGCCATTAACCTTAACCTTAGCTTTGACCCTGCAGCCTGGGAGGCTGCTCTGTTACGCTGTGCAACCTTTCCAGCTCTATGGCTTGAGTGAAGCTGAGGTGAGCTGGGCTGTGGGGTTGGGTGATGTCGTAATTTGCATATAGAGCACGAGATGAGAACGATTAGAAAATGGCGACCTTTTCTCCCTGTTCAGTTCTGTGCTGAAATAACCGAGCTGACACGTTTCAGGCCGTGAGCTGTTCCCTGCAGCTGATGATTCGACAGCTTTGCAGCTCTCTCCGGCTCTGAGCAGCACACATGGCATCAGGCAGGCACGTGCCCCACGAGGCTTTGTGAGACACGACTCTGAGTGTTCGCTGGCTTCATGCTGAGCCCTTGGTTTTCCCTTGTATGAAACCATCCTCTTATCCCAGCTATGCCAAACGGCGCAGGTTGGGACTGCTGTTCTGATGGCTGTTGGTATAGAAGGTTCAGGAGCCTGCTTGTTCCAATCCACTCCCTTATCTTTCAACACTGCCATCAGCCTTTCCTGTGTGAAAGCAGCATGTTCTGCTGTGGGAGTGATCCCAGCAGCCTACATCCTGGGGCAGGGAGATGCAGAGGAGCATTGCCAGGAACTTCAGGACCTGTTGGTGGGGAAGGCCAACTGTTTGCACATAGCATACTGGTTGTGGCATGAAGCTAGACAGAAATCTTACAGGAATATTATCTTTGGGTGCTTGAATGGATCTAAAAAGAAAGTTACATTGCATTATGTAAGCATGCTTGTCCTGTATAAGGTTCTGATAGAAGATGGATTTTTAGCTTAAAATTCGATTGTTTGCTAATAGGAAGAGTTTGCCTTTGAGTGCTGCTGTCAGTGAAGTGACCAGAGCGGACCAGCTACTTGAGATCTGATTCCAGAAGAAGGCTGTCCTGTGTGTGATGGAGCATATGATTTCATAAAGTTATAAAACAAAGCCTTCACTAAAGGGAATCGTCATGTTGCCCTCATTGTGTCCTGCTCATAATTTGTTATTTCTATTTATGTTTGGGGTCTGTGGAAGTGATTCAGCCGAGACTGAGGTACTGATGTCTGGATGGTCACTGTTTCTTTAGAGCAGTGTCCACTCTGAAAAGCAGTACGGAATTGTCCAAAATGCTTTGTAGTCACATTGGTTCTTTTTGCTCATAGAAAGAAAAAGATGCATTCTGTCTGCGTCAGTGAGGTTTCCTGGGTCATTTTGTACTAGAGCTTATTGCTGGAATTCTCTGTGTTGTGCTGAAGTGTGGGTGCCACATCCTTGAGGGCTCAGGACCAGGTTGGATGGGGCCCTGGACAGCCTGAGCCAGTGGGGGCAGCTCTGCCCATGGTGGGATGTTGAGATTGGATGGGCTTTGAGGTCCCTTCCAACCCAACCGTTCTGTGATGTAAGGTGAGCAGGGAGGCGCTGCTGGGATCATCTGCTTCAGTGCCAGGCTGCTATCGTTTGTGTTTTTGCAGCTGATAGGACTATTGCTGCTGGTGTTTGGCAGCCTGCATTGTATAGGTGCAGACAGGTGAGCTGGGAGTGCTCCCTGCTCAGTTTGGAGTCAGGTTCCTTGTGGCTGCTGCGTGCCTTTCATCTTTTCTGCTGCAAAGCAGCGCTTTGTGACTTTCAGCTTCCTCTGTTGTGTAGGTGAAAAGCGGTCCGTGCTGCATTTCTCAGACAGAAATAGTCGTGGTCTGTGTTTGCAGTAGGCAGGTAGCAGAAAAACTGGAGCTGAACCGAATCACCTGCCGTAATCATTGACAGTAATTCCTGGCTTTGAGAGCAAGAGTTACTTGAATATTGGGCTTGTATTGTCAAATGGGGCTGAAGCTTTGCTGTCTCCTGTGGAAGATGGCCTCTTAGCATGGTGCCCTGTGAGGGTCCCTCTGTTCCTGGACAGAGGGAGGAGGTGATCTGGGAGGCAGCACACAGCTGTTAGGTGAGAAGGAACGAAGAAATGGGCACTGTGGCTCAGTGCAGTTGAGTTTACAGGATCAGCAATGTCTGCGATGTGGGGAATCGTTGAGGCTGAGCAGGAAAATGGAGCGGGTTGGGATGCAGCCGGTGGTGGCAGTTTGTGCTGAGCCGTAGGCAGCAAGCAGCCAGAAGACCTTCCCAGTGCTTCCCTCCTTACAGCTGCACGGCATTGCTGGCTGGAGCAGGCACGGCAGCTCTCATTGCATTCCAGGGCGCTGCTGCACTCTGCGGTGATCTGATGGCAGCGGCAGTAACGGCAGCAGCGGGGGTTATGTGAGGACGCTGCTCCGGCCTTAACTCTTTGCTTGCCTGCTTTGCTTTCTTGTAATGGCAATGCTCACAGGCTTTGCTGGGCAATTGGAGCGTTCTGTCACTTGATTACTCAACTGAGACTTAGAGTTGGCAGGGGAAACCAAACAGAAACATAGATCCTGCCATTTCTAAGCTATGAAAAGCCGAAGCCCTGCCTTCAGATCCCTTACACTGCCCTAAGCACAGGCTCTGGGGAGACAGGCACCTCTGTGGTATGTGCTGCCTGATGTGACCATACACCCAGAATGAGGAGAGCAGCCTAAAGCAGGGTGACCCAATGGCTGTGGTCAACCTCCTGCTGCTCCTGAAGGTGACATTCAGGGATTTATTACAGAATCTGTTCGATTTAACTGTGTTTGGTCCAAAATCTCAAGAGCTTCTCTGTGGGATCTTCATCCAATGTTGTGAATGCTGCATGAGTCCCAGTGAACCCGTCCAGCTGTCAGCCTAAATTACTATAAATCAGAAGCTGCAAGCTTGCAGTGTGGTATGTAGGAACACGGAGCTGCCCTTGTTGGCCGTAAATCTGTCTGCTTGAGGACTTTGGGTTTTCTGGGGCCTGTAATTGAAGTGAGCAGCAAGTTTGTTGTGAGTGTGCTAGCATGAGAAACTGAAAGGTCTCTCCTGAGCTGGGGGCGGGGAGGAGGAAGGGTGGCTGCTCTTCCAATCCTGATCAGGAAATGGGCTTTTGGTTACTGTGCTCTCAGAGATAGAGCAGGTCCTGCACATGGGAGGAATGTGGAGGATGCCCACATTGTGTCACCTAACAGATCTCTGCATGGGGCCTCAGGTTATTAATCTTACTGGATTGTAAGACCCCCACTGGAATGTGGGATGTTTGAAACTGAATTCTCATTTTCAGACCTCTGAAGTACAGTGGATGCTGAATTGTTGTTTGAACAAA